GCAAAGACGCAGCGGGGCAAAATTGTCTATACCAGCTTTATTGCGAGCAGACGGGACCCCTGCGCAAACTGACTATGACAAGGCTTGTATACTGAGTGATCAGTATACTGCGATCTTTGCTCGGGAGACCTCTTTACCGCAGGTTGAATTGGTTTCAAGAGTTCCAGAGGATTCTTGCTTAGCTGAATTTAGCATAACGGAGACTCAGGTCTTCGAGCTACTGCAAGGCATTAATCCCTCTAAAGCTTCCGGTCCTGATTCAATTCATCCGAAGCTGTTGCATGAACTGGCCACTGAGCTGAGTGGTCCGCTCACGTGCGTATTTTCAATATCGCTGGACAGCTGCAGCCTACCTTCGGAATGGAAGGAGGCAATCATCTGTCCGATTTTTAAGGGCGGTGACAGCGCTCTACCCGCGAACTACCGGCCTGTCAGTTTGACAAGCGTAGTAGTCAAGTTGTTCGAGAAGCTGATAAGGGATTCAGTGGAGAACCACCTGAATCGATTCAACCTTCTCAGTGTTGCACAACATGGATTCCGCAAAGGATTTTCATGTCAGACTAATTTACTTGTAGCTCGTGAAAGCTGGGCCGAAGCGGTAGACAGTGGCCACGCTGTAGACGTGCTATTCGTAGATTTTTCGAAAGCTTTTGACACTGTTCCACATCTTCGGCTCTCACTAAAGTTGAGATCTTACGGGATATCTGGTCGCGCCCTTCAATGGGTGTCTGCCTTCCTTGAGGGGAGGGAACAGTGCGTACGGGTGGGGCGTAGCCTTTCGCTCAGGCAAGCTGTCCTTAGTGGCGTTCCGCAGGGCTCGGTATTGGGGCCATTGTTGTTCGCGATCTATGTAAATGACTTGCCGGGAGAGCTAGGGGTGTCATCATTAATGTTTGCTGACGACCTTAAGCTCTGGAATATTGTGGATATCCCGGGGGGTCCTGAGGCAATTCAGCGTGCCTTGGATAGACTCTGGGAATGGTCTATCTTATGGTTGATGCCCATAAATAGGGCCAAGTGCTCTGTTCTCCGAATCGGAGCTGCAAATCCTCCCACCCGATATGTCCTCGGCGGTGGTGAACTCCCTGTTGTCACTCAGCAGGTTGATTTAGGAGTCGTACACGCATCAGCACTTCATTCTGGAGACAACTGGAAGAAGGCTGCTTGTCGAGGGTTTCGTATGATGTGGTTTATCCGCCGCTCTTTCGGAATCTTAACGGCCAAGTTGTTTGTGAAGCTATTTTCGGCATTCGTCCGACCCCACCTGGAATATTGTATTCAGGCTTGTCCACCATGTCTTAACCGAGACAAAATGGACTTGGAGAGGGTGTTACGAGTGGGCACTCGGTTAGTGCAGGGTCTACGGGGACAGACGTATCCTGAACGCTTGCTCAGTTTGGGTATGTACTCCATGCACTACCGAAGGATAAGAGGGGACCTGATTCTCACTTATCGTATTTTGACGGGTAAGATTGGCCCGGACTTGTCAGGGCTTTTTAGTCCCGCTACGTTACCTAGTCTCCGCGGTCACCCACTGAAACTGCATAAACCACGGTCTGATAGGATTAGGACGGAAACTCGTCTATCGCGCCGAGTTATAGATCGCTGGAATTCTCTTCCAGATCACGTGGTTAGGGAACCTACGGTTAAGGGTTTTGCGCGCCAGCTCGATGCTCTTGGGTGGCAACAGCAAACCTTTCCTTTTTCCTAGCTGACTCACCTTCATTTTTCAGTTCTTTTTTTATTGACTCAAATATCTTGGTATTCCACTTGCTTAGTTCTTACCACTTTCTCTTTTGCCTCCTGCGTTTACTTTTTTCTCTTTCTTACTTCACGTAACCGACCCAGCAGGGACTGCTAGGGCAGGATACGTGGGCATTAATTGGTTGGACAGGGTGTGATGCGGTCTTTGTTTTAGGTCCATCAGTATTTCAAAGTTCGCCAACTCCTGGTTCAACGACCCGCCGAAGAAGGAACACTCACGGGATCTATCCTATCGTTCCAGTCCCGCTTGAACTTGAACTTGAACCCTCCCCAAATTATCAGCAAACCACTTTGGTTAGAATCCCGGTCCGGTTTCCTTACCTCGCTTAGACCATTGAGGTTTACAGCAAGATTCACCCGTGGTATTTATCTTAACCTTAAGCAGGCCATGGTTATTTCACACTACCCTTTCAAGCCTTATCATCGTGAGTCTATGCTAACTTGAATGACTACTCTGTTCTTGATCCCGCCTCACCCTGACCTTATGAATCTATGCATGCCGCCTGGGATTAGCTCAGTAATGGCTGATTCATCACACCTTTTGTCTCCTTGACCACCGTATGAGGCTTTTCCTAAACTTTGTCTCAGCTTTTGTGACCTGTAACTCTGCTTGCCTTTTTACTTGTCACCCCACATCTGTTTGGCCACATAGTCTCTTTTTTCTGCCTAATTCAGTTTTGTCTAAACTCTCTGGTCTGTTTTCTTACTGCTTCTGGCGACTAAGATCTACTAACTCAGGTTTGGCATTTCCACTGATCCTTTTACCTTCCCCTGCTTTGATTGCTGTTGCTCCCCATTTTTACCCTAAAGCCATTTAATGCTATGATACGCTTATCCCACTCTCACCTCACCCGGCTTGCTTGCTGTCTGCTTGATGTGTTCGTCTCGCATTGCCTCACATGGCTTTTCTGTTTCCTTACCTCGCTTATTACATTGAGGCTTAAAAACCTGGTCTATAGCAGATTTTCTCATGGGAAATTTTTGTTTTTCTAACCTTAATCAGTCCTTGGATTAACTCAGTATGACCTGCTTTTCTTACCTAATTATTGCTCTGAAACTATTGGGCTCTAAACGCGGCTCTGTCCCTAGCTACATGGCACCTCTCATTTCCCTTTCTAATGTCTAAGGCTCCTTCCTAGAATGCTGTTCCTGACTTTGAGTTTCAAAACTTACCGCTGGGATCTTGTACTCTTATTTTAGCACATCGGACTTACTGCTACACTTACTAATATGGCCCATGTCTCCGTGCTTGCTCTGTATAAAGCTTTGATGCGGTTTGCTGAGCGTGTAGAGCTATCAGATTCGGCATATCTAAAGTCATTAATTAGACAGTCATTCTCCAAGAACAAAGACGTGAATGACCCGAAGACTGTGGAATATCTCATCGAGGTATGCTTCAATTGTCAAAATTTCTAATCCCAATTTCCAAAGAAAGGCTTCAGCATCATACGATCTCGCCGAATTATTTAATCGTCATGCGACTCTGACTTCGTCTTTGGTCTTGTGCAAATAAATATATTAATCTTCGCTTTGCATAATAATCGGTGAGTTAGTCTGCAATCAAGCAACTATATGCAATTAAAATTTGCCAGTTATTTCAGACATCCGTATGCAAACCAAGCATAAGCGCACGGTACTTGAAATATCCGCTCGAACAGACCAACAAGTGCTGATTCGGTGTTGCTCCTTCTAACCCTGACACCCCATACTGAATACTGTATTTTGGAGCAAGTAGAAAATAATTCTGTACAACTCCATCGGGTGATAATCAAAAAACATTAAAAAAAAAATAAATAAACACGTCCGGTGGTTATCCTGAGATGGTTCAGCAACTCCTTCTGTAGCACACAAAATGCTTGTTTACACAGTGAGTCACAAGTGGGTGATATCGTTGTCAAGTGGCAACCGTTCTCTGAAACGTATGTTAGCGAAGTGTACATCCAACAAAGCTTTGAATTTCTGCACAGATTCGACCTCGACGACGTGTTCTGGCAGACTGTTCCAGGCGTGCACAACCCTCCGCTCGAAACACAGGGGGTGTGGGATTTTCTTCAGATCAGGTACCACGAGTTTGTACCTGTGCCCACGTGTGGTGCATGGTACTCGCAAGTGGAGTAACGACCTTAGCATGGGGAAATGACCGAGATGTAAAATACGGTAGGTCATGATAAGATCCACTCGAACACGGCGATATGACAAGGTGTAGAGCCCAAGTTTCATGCACCGGTTTTCATACGATAAGCCTCTCAAGCTGGGGATCAACTTGGTGGCGATGTGTTGTACTCGTTCGATCTTTTGCGCTTCGCCGCGAGTGATCGGACAATATGCAGGCGAGCCGTACTCTACCATTGGTCTGACGATGGAAGAGAAGAGGCGAGTGGCGACGTCCTCAGACCAAGTGCAGAAGCTGCGTTTCAGCGCCCAGAGCATGCGCAGTCCGTTTCGATACAGTTTGTTGGTGTTGTCGACGGACTTCAAGTCGCAGCGTGAGAGTACACCTAGGTCTTTCACGGAAGGTGTGGGATGCAGTGGTTGGCCGTCTAGGGTGTACGTTCGTCCGTGAACAGCCTTCCCGAGACTCATGAATAGGGACTTGACCGGGTTGACCGGTAGGTGGACTTCAGCAGACCATACTGCGAGGCGGTCGAGGTCTTGTTGGAGAATGTCACAGTTCTCGAGAGTATTAATTTCTCGCCAAATTTTGAGGTCATCCGCAAACAATGCACACGGCGACCGTAGAAGCTGGGGCAGCTCGTTGATGTGGATGAGAAACAGAGTGGGTCCCAGTACCGTACCTTGAGGTACACCACTGGTCGAGGGATACCAATCGGTTAGATGGCCGTCCACCTGTACCCTCCACTTTCTTCCAACGAGAAATTCATGGATCCATCGATGTAACGATCCTCCGACACCACACGACCTTAATCTGTCTAGAAGCAATTCATGATTGACTTTGTCGAATGCTTTGCTGAAGTCGATGTAGATTACGTCGACGGACTTTCCCCGGTTCAGTGCTTGCAACCATTCCTGTCTCGTCACAAGTAAGTTTGTAACACAAGAATATCCCATCCTGAATCCGTGTTGTGCCGGTGTCAGAAGTTCTTTCGATTGTAACAGATGTATTAGACGCTTTTTTACTATCTTCTCGATCACTTTGGCCAAAACGGGTGTAAGACAAATTGGCCTGTAGTTATCCACCTTACTGGGGTCGCCACCTTTCGGGATCGGCCTCACCACCGAGCGCTTCCAGTCGTTTGGCAATGAGCCCTCAGACAATGATTTGTTGAATAGATCCGTAACCACAGGCGAGATAATGGCAGCTAGTGATTTGATAATTAGCGGATGAAGCCCGTCAGGCCCTGCAGGCTTGGCACCGTCAAGGTCCGTCAAGGTTTCGTCCACGTTTCGACTTATCATATGGAGATAGCCTGAGCTGGGGTGGGCCTCGAGGCCTAGTGTTCAAAGGTTGACGCCTTGACCACTATGGCTCTAAAATCCCTGAACAACGTTTGGCACAGCGGTAAGGAATTTCAAGTGGCATTCGGTGTACCCGCTGTGTTAGATTGCGACTTGAGGACGAAACCGGTCATGGGGTGTCAGGATTGGGAGGAACAACACCGAACTACCAATTCGCATATGGTCCTTGTGATCGTAATGACCGAGGTCTACTACAAAAAGGACCGATGTCTGAATAGAGATTGCCGGTCGCAATCCAACCACACAGCGGGTACACCAAATGCCACTTAGACTAAAAAGTGCTTATCAATAGACGCACCGCACAACTCTGCGTACTATTTAAGCATAAACTTGAATCTTATTTCCGAGGTTCCGTATCACTTTACTCTTCGCTTTTTCGCACTAGTCGCATTCATGAAGCGGCCACTTGATTTTGGTCATACCGCCGTTTTTGTATGTTGCTGTCCTGGTCTACTTACACACAACCACAGTCTTGCTGTCGATCAATTTACCCTCCATATTTTAGGAATCTTGTAGCCATTTGCGTGACTGATAGTCTCTCCGCAGCGCGGAGTGGTAAACCAATAGATGGTGGTCGATTCTGTGTCACACACTGCGCATATTCACGTATGTAACTGCGTATCCCTAAACTTTCTCCTCCGATTTCAGAGTGCAGCGCCTATTCGTGTGTCACTTGTAGTTGCATCTCGAATGAGATGACCAGCTGTCTGTGGTGCATTGTTAATGAAGCGAAATCTTGGGGATTGTCCAAGCCCGTGGAAATTTTTTCAGCTTCAACACAGAGTTGTGCCGTCCACTGAACCCACTTCTTTTCCTCTGTTCGGCAATGCGATCATCATTTAATCTCGACGAACCTATACATAAAAGGACTGTAGTACTAAGAATTGCTATCATTCATCATCACTACACTACTGAGGGTGCGAAGTGCCTCAGCAAATGTACCGCACAATACAATTATACAGTCGAAAGATGGGAAAGTAATAAATTATACTGAATGAAAAATAAAACAATTGATATTATGCTTCGTTTTTTATATTGTGCATGAAGTGTAACGTGGTTGAAGGGAGAGGGGCGAAGAAACTTGCCACGCGTACGCCATTGAGGTCGACTCTGCGCCATATCAACACAAATACCCAACCAAATGTATTTGTCATCATTCGGATTCCGATCCGAAATCCAGGAGGCACCAACCAAGGAGCCTTTATTACTCTTGAGCGACTGGCCTCACTTCTCCCATCGTGGGTAAAATAGTGCACATCGCCCGACTCAGTGTGCTGACATATGTAACACATGGCCTAGCCATCGGAATTCGACGCGTGAAATAACGACACTGAGAAATCCACTTGCGGCGAACCCGCACATGACTTACACCGTGTTCCCACCAGAGATGAGCTTAACTGCGAAGGAACTAGTGAGCGAACGCAACTAGTCTTTTTACATATATCGATCTGCTGGGTCAGTTTTTGCAACCGCATAAGAGAGTTGAACGAGTGCCAGCATACCAGACTTGATCCCTCAGGCTGAAGGTGATGTCCCATCGGCGTTGTTGGGCGGAGCCTGGGATACTAGTCGGTAAGCAATGACACGTAATACGTGTCAAATATGACAGTATAGAAGTCGGAGGCGACTGAACCCAACGTATATTGTGTAGGCTACAAGAATAGGAAGCGAATCAGACTGAGCGAGAAACGTGCAGCGAGGTACTCACCAAAACGGTTTGTCAACGGACGTGCAGTCAGTAAAACAAGCGGACGTTTCGAAGGTTAAAACAACCGTAAAATCCAATGCTACAATATACTGAAAGAGCTTGCTTTCAGGTACATTCCAAGGGCCTCCCCCTAGAAGGCAGAAGAATGGAAGCCTTCGATGGAGCTATTAGTGGGGGAAACCGAAGGTGAGGTTGGATGCGAATATTTGCAGGGGCTTAAGTAAGCGCTTCCAAAGTGGGGTGTGTAGCAGATTTCGCTGGGTTCAGGCTTTTGTTAGTTATTATCTATGACGATCGTGTGGACCAGAGTACATCATCGGTGGGCCGTCGGGGCGGGCTGGTCGGACTGCAAAAAAAACTGGTTAGTCGAGAAAAAAGGCTGACAGGACCTTTCCTTTGCTGCAGACCCGACGGTGCGCTTGGGAGGAGTCACCCCTGACCGCACTTTAGTCCACGGTCCTCGTCCCACGAAGAAATCCAGGCATCCTCGTTCCACGGCGAAATCCAGGCATCCTCGTCCCACGGAGAAATCCGGGCGTCATCGTCCCACCAAGAAATCCGGCGTGCTCGTCGGCAACACCTAGCTAGGCGTTCAGGGACCAACCCGTTTGTGGCTGTCTGCAGTCAAGGGCGATTGACTTCTTTGGGTCAGGCAGGGGGCCTTGGATCGGCTGGCGAGTCACTCGGGGTTGCGTTGAGCCGGTTGGCGAGTCACTCGAGGGTTGCCTTGGCAGTTCTGCGGTTGAGTTTCTGGAAGGTAGAACTCGGAGGGGGTGGGCAAGGGTA